ATAGGGCAATATTATGGTATGATTACAGAGAGTCTAAATTGATACAAATTTGATTACTTTGTATGCTTATAAAAGTTTGGTTAGGATTTTGCTTATATTTTAACTAAATACATGATAATTTGAAAGATGTATTTTGCAGCCTCTTCCTACCTTTATCTACTGCCTGGAATAGTTTTGATTTCCCCAAATACTATACCAGCATAGTATGTCAAAAACATGGCGTAGTTATCATGGCACAATTCTGACTTCAATTGCAATGCAGACTTCAGTTACAATGAGTCTACTTAACATCTTTGAGGACAAAAAAAACGTGGCAGGGTTGCATTTATGTCAAGAAATAACAGATACACACATATGCTGAGGCTATGAATGAGTTTCTTACGGCAGTTATCATCCATTGGTGGATCAGCAGTCCACATGAGCAGGATTTAGAAATCTCTGGCCAGCTCTTAGTGTATAAAAGTACAATGAATTCAACCAAAACTAAACAGAAATCCTATCTGCGCTCCACAGAAGCATCATGGGCCAGACTTACTTTTGGCACATATTTTCCCCTCTGATTTGCAGCTAAAATTTAAACCAGAATGGTTAACCTGATAATGTTCTTGAGCCCTAAAGTTACATACACACAAGTTTAAGAACTGTGTTGGACCTAAGAACGTTTGGAGTAATTTTAACTGACTGTAGCAAGTGATTCATAAATTTAATGAGCACTCTGTGTACTTCATATTACTTCCCTTCATATTATTAGTGGAATCATATATGTACAACCAAGAGACAAATCACATAAATTTTGTTGCAAAATATAATTGAACACAGACAGGGACATTTGCGTTTAGCAGCAGTTTCTACTGAGCAAGAGCCAAGTACATTTCCTTCTTGGCCTTCTTTCCCCTCTGTGTTTCAATTTTGTGCAGTATCAGTTAATCTCTTGTAGTTTCTTTCTTCTGGTATCATGTAGTATCTAAAGGAATTCCCCTTAAATTAGTTTTTTGCATCACATAAATAGTTATTTCCAAAAACAGGTAGGTGCATGTTTTGTATTCTTAAGGAACAGGAGGAATGTTTTTGCTTAGAATATTATTCTACAGCTTATTCAATTATTCCCATGTATCCACTTCAGAGCTCTTCAAAGAAATATGCCCATGTGACATGAAACACATGGCCAGTTTACAAGAACAGAGTTCATCAAGAAAAAAAGCAACACAAAAACTTGTGGTTTTTCCACAATGTTGAAATTTTGCTTTCCTTTGCTTTATAATAAATGATTAAGATGCAGTAGGGCGTAAGTCCCAAATCCGCTCCACCAAAAAACCCCACAACATCAAACACCAAAAAAAGCTACATCTGGCAAGGACTGGGCACGTTGCTGCTGGACATGGAACCTGCTGAAAGGTGCTGTGGACCTCTGACTATGGCCTTGAAATCACAGTATGGAAATCACTGCTCTGGACAACTGACGCAGCTCTTCATCAGTCTGTTTAGGCGCAGAAGTACATTTCAGTTACATCTGAAGGGAATTAGCTAATGCAACAGACATAATTTTATCTTTAAAACGTGTAGCCAACTATATTTCCATTACTGCTTTTCTTTAGTATCCAAACAGCAACGCTAAGCTGGCAAGCTGTGCTTTCAGTGATCTGTGTGTAATCTAACAAAGCAGCTGCGCTCAGCAGAACAATGATTTTGTCAAAGAGCTAAATAAAAACTCTTCAGAGCTCTGATAAAGCCTTTAAAAGAGAATATTCTAAAACAAGAGATTCACTTCTTTTAAGGAATCAGGGTAAGGCTAAAGATCCAATGCTCAGGATGAAATTACTGATGAGGGGAAAGAGAAGGCAAAATTTAGTTCATATGTGACATAAGGACAGAGGTGACCAGTCTCTGCTACAGGAAAGACAAATGGAGCATCCTATTTATTTCTGTCATTTCACAAGATCTTGCAGGACTATGTAAACCATCCTCTAAAACATAAACGACCTACATCAAAACAATGTTTTTTAGCAATCTAACACAAATTCTGGTATTTTGAGAAATGCATGTATCTTTTCTACCTCTAAAGCAACTACACGTGTTCTACACCTAAAATGCTGCAAGAAAGATTTAAGAAAATGTTAACAAATTTAATTAAATGGTCACAATTGGCAAGTTTTAAATACTTTGAAGTATGATTCAGTGTTTACAAAAAGAAAAACAGCAAAGCAGTTTGGCTTTCAAGGGCCACATAGAAAGAATTCCAAAAACTTTATGACCGATCGATTCTTGCACAAAAGATTTCAGATCTTTAATGGAAATTATTAGGTATAGCAATAATAATTTTAAACAACAATGCAATAATTTTTTAAACAAGTGATGCAAAGATCTGCCAAATTAGCAGAAAGACTGGGGATAAGAAAAACATAGCAAAGACACAGCTTGTTCCTTCTGAAACCTTCATTAAAACATACAGGTTATTAGCTCCAACAAGAAAACTAGAAAATCTATGAAGCATTAGCACATGGCTGCCAAAAAATTAAAGCCTCCTAAAGCTGGATACCAAAGTACTTTTATCTGTATGTGGACAATCCCACAGGATTTTTCATCCATTCCATTTTGCTTATTTATGTTGTCAGTTTCCTGGAGCAAGGACTTTTACTTCTGTACATGGATGCTACTAGTATTTCACCAGTAAACGGTTACCACAGCAGTGTGCTTTTGTTGTAAAAATTAGCAAAATGAAGGAATAAAATTATTTTAATGCTACTAATATTTGCACAGCATAATCCTTAATTTTAGTCCTAAATACATATAAGCCTACACCCAAAAAAACCACCAACCCAACCTGAACTTGTATTACTTTTCCAGGCATCTGTTGGTTCTCCGCAGCTATATTGCTTACTTTTGCCTGCCAACCAAGTCTTTCCACAACAGCAACAATTGTCACCGCCACCGCTACTTATAATATACATATTATATAGAACGGGACAGCTCCTAATCCCCGTTAAATCGCTGCAATTCTGGAGTGATTTCATTAAATCAGTGGACTTCATGTCACTGAGATCATGGTTTGGCCCCGTTCTTTCTTGTGTCAGTTAAGGAACACTACAGCTTTCCAGCAGAGTGGCATGCATTTTACACGTTCTGTTCTTTGCAGAGAGGCACGTTTTAACCATGCCACAGTTTATATGCGTTGCTGAACTTGAAGCAGGTGACCTAATTTATTGTAACAGAACACAAGACCCAAGAGTCTGACTCCAAACTGCCATGTACTTTTATGGGCTGGACCAGAGAATGTCCCAAGTCTCTTGCATCAGTTAATGTCTTGAAAAGGTTCTTTCAGCCAGAGCTGCCAGGATTGCCTGCATCCTGCACATGCCAAACTGAATAGGGATCCAGAATTTTCCAAACGCAGGGACCACAAATCGCTTGGCTTTTGAAAGAAGAAAGAAAAAATTTAATCTATACATTTTAATTTATATTGAGTGCTAATTCTTTTGATATATTTCCACTAACTAAATAAGAAAAAGAGGCTATAAAAGCAATTTAAAAAATCATAAGAAAAAAGGTAAGCTGAGAAACTTGACATCTTTTAGTTTCTGCACATTACACCTTGCTACCGTGTTCATTTTCTAGAAAGACAGGTAGTTTATTTCTTAAAGTACTATGCTCACTTAGGGTATTTGCTGGGGACCCTAAAATATTCAGGAGGGGCTGTTATTTAATCACATTTTAGAATTTAGGATTTTAGAAAGTTTGAGAGTCTTGTTGAGTTAGGTGTGAACGTGGGTATTTCTCTTTGCTGCTCCATATCTGTATTTTTTGATGGACTAGATCTCCAGAGCCGTGGTTTTCAGCCTTCAGTTGCAGAACCCCAAGTGTCTCAAGACTGCATCTATTAGTTTTGAGAAAAATGAATAAGGGAAATCTGTTGTCATTTGGCTTAAATTTGTTCTATAGGACTTGAAAACCAATGGTTTTAAGTTAACAAAGGACAGACTGTGAATGGCACTTCATGGAATTTTACATATGTAAAAGATTACATGTCTGGAGAAGAGTTTCACTGATAAAACTTGGTGCTCCCCTCTCTGTCAGCCGTTCTCTTTCTCCCATGTTCTGGCTTTGTTTCTTCTTCTTTCTTCCCAGTACATCTTCTGCAGGACATTTCACATTCCTCATGTTCATCTAGGTTAGGTCACCTTTGTGGGGAGGCAGGCCACTTAACATCTCCCAGTGGCTGGATAGAGATATTTGATTAGGTCTACTATTGATGTGTATCATTAATCCCTAAAGATGGGCCGTGTCCAAAGCCCCATTCATGCTATGTTTTCATAATCTGACAATTAATTTAAACAATGAGCAAAAGAAAATAATTCTAAGTCACAAACTGTTGACAGATGAAAAAGCTGACCAGCAAACTGCTTGATGACGTACAGGCAATGATCAACAAGAAAGAGAGGAACCTTATGTTTTAAAATATGACAGCCACAAGCTAAAACTGTTAGATCCTGTCCTTGGATTTTTGGCAAAAAAGGAAAAATGAGCTACTCACTATAAATAAAATTAACATGAAAAAGCAAAGGGTTTAACATCAAGTGATGTAATGACAAGCCTCAATTCAATAGACACTGATTTCCATTCAATCATACTTATGCACAGCACATACATACAGACAGCTAAAATTTGCTGGCATGGTAAAAGGCAGCTTTGACAGAACCTCCATGGACCAATACGTATTTTCTCTAAACAGTGAAAATAAGATATTTTATCCAAGACAACAATCCTATAGCAAATATTTATTTCACACCACTTACATAAAGTAGATGTAGTGCTCCAAAAGTAAACACCTTCTTTCAACAGCTGCTAACTGGTAAACAAACTTTCCTATATTCCTGCTTGCGAATGCCAATCTCCTTTGTATTATAAACTAACTCAGCCAAGGTCTGGCCAGCTGCTCATGCCTTTTATAATTTGTATTTGAGATGGCCTTTGGTGGTGGTGGTTGGGGTTTTTTTGTAACTTACCTAGTAGAGATTGTGAGTTAACGTCCCTTCTTCGGGTGAAATGTCCTCCAGGGAGATCTTTTGCCATGACAGAGATAGTGGAAAGCAGAGTGTGTCCAAATAACAGAAAGAAGCATGCAATCATCTTCTTCATCTTCAAGAAAGAGAGGGACATTCAAGGATATGAAACTGCAATAAAGGAGAGAAGGAGATGAGCTCTTTGATTACACAAAAAGATACACTGTAACCACGTCAGCCACTCAGCTGCCCTGCTCCCCTCCCATCACAAATATCCTGGTATACTGGCATGGAGTAATACCTACACCTTCAAGAAAGAAGATCTACATAATATCGGGGAAGTGGATATAAGCTGGAACATAGGAGGTTCTGCTTAAACATGAGGAAGAACTTCTTCCCAGTAAGGGTAACAGAACACTGAAACAGGCTGCCCAGAGAGGTTGTGGAGTCTCCCTCTCTGGAGATGTTCAAAACCCGCCTGGACGCGTTCTTGTGTGATCTGTCTAGGTGGTCCTGCTCCAGCAGGGGGATTGGACTAGATGATCCTTTGAGGTCCCTTCCAATCCCTAACATTCTGTGTTTCTGTGATAAAGCAGCAGTTCGCAGACCCTGCACAGTGTTTATAAGTGCAGTTAGTTGAAGTTCATAGTTAACACTTACAATGCATCAACTTTTACAATCATTCATAATAACCAAGCATTTTTAAAGCAAGAAAAGGAACTTTGTTTCAATCAGCCTGTCAGCATAAACAGGAGGACACAAATACGTTTGCTTTATTCTACCCAGCACTCAGTTGCATTTCTTCAGAAGTTTAATGGTTCTTGTAGCCTGAGGGATACTTGCTTCAGAAAATCTTGGAGAATTAAAACAAGAGAAGGGAATATATTCCAGAAACAGCAACTAAAAATGAGAACTGGTGACAGCTCATGCTTCCTTTTCAGAAGACTGTCCGTGGTTGCTAGCATGAAGATAACAGTGCAGAATGAATCTTGTTTACTCAAGCAGACTTTGGAGGACTGGCAATGAGCATGACATAGGTTATGGAGAAGTTTTGTCATACAGAAGAACAAATTAACAAGCAAAATTCCCACACTAAGAGATGAATCTTGCCCAGGAGTTTGTTAAGGCACCATCAAAAGCCATGGCCGACCCTGCCCACAAATGGAAAGCTAATACTGACATGCTAAAGGCTCATCTTCTGGCCATGTACCCTGTTGGTGGGCCTCCTCAGATGGTGATTCCGTCTATCTTCCTCTAAAACTTTATTGTTGTCGGTTGTGAAGAAAGCGTCTCACAGGATCTAGATTCAGCCTTGGAACTGGTGATATGATGAAGCTTAGTCAAGAGCTTCCCTAGGTGCGCAAGAGATGGATAAAACTATCCATTTTCACAACAAAGAACTGTTCCACCTGAAACTCAGTGGAAATTTTACAAGCAGTGTAAATTTTAACAGTAATTCTTGGTTAAGTAACTAAGATGTTGAAAACAATTTTAATAGGGTCTTGATAAGCAGATAGAGCCACAGATCTGTAACATAAGGCAACTAAATGCCCCAGTTCAGAAAGACAACTTTTTTTTTCCCACCATGATGTACTCACTGGCAGAATATAAAATTCTGAGTAAATATTTTCTTTCTAATAAAGAGATTTTATACATTATTCTTCAGTCTGTCCCACACAACCATTACACATTGATATACTTTTCTCTCTATCAATCTATTTTTCCTTTTGTGTATCCTACTCGACATTCCCAAACATGAACACAGTGTTCTCGTGTATATGCCAGAGAGCAAAATTAACTGAGTCTTTGCACTCAAAATGCCCAGCCTTGCTTAAATATTTCATATTATCCAGTAACAGGCAAAACGTGATTTAAGGACATTCAAACTAGGAAAGAGATGTATGTAAATAGTTGACGCTTATAATAGAGGCCACAAAAAATTAAATTTTTGGAGCCCTAGCAGCGTGGGCACCTGTATGGTATTATTGGTAGAGTATTTCCAGTGCTCTAGTCAGAAACAGATGGACACTGCAAACAGCATGCACCACTGAAAATTGGACAAAATTTTGCTGGAGGCAACAGTTGTCACTTCTGGAGATTACCGATGAAAGCTTCTCCCAGGTTGTCTCCTCACTTCTCACGACACCAGCAACAAACACTGGGCTCTGCAAGGAGACCTCCTTTTTCTCAGCACATAAGGCAAATGACCCACTAGGACACATGCCAGTTCCGGCACCAATGCTTTAGAAACACAGACGCCATGCTCAGAGAGCTAAGGATCGTAGAGAAATATTTCTCACACTTATTTGCAAGGCTGGCACAGGAACCAGGCATGAGCAGCTTGTTCAAAAGGGCTATCTGGCTGTTACCTAGTTAACGGTGGCCTAACTCATCCCTCCTTCCTATCCATCCTAAACAGTTGTGGAGATTGGGCTAAAGCCACTTTACCTGTTCTTGATGGCACGTTACTGGAGAACCAACAATACTGTGGCAGGGCACCTTCACGTGCCACTGAATCATCCACCAAGAGCAAGATGCCAGAGATAACCAAGATATAGGAGTGACTCAGGTCAGTCTTACCAGCTCTATAAAGTACCCCAAACTAAACCCTCTTACATTCCATCACTTAACTTATTTTATACCTTTGTAGCAATTTTTGATATTTGGTAGCAATTTCAAATTTACTAGGCTCACAAGTGTCCCTCTCCGCAGGCAACTTCAGAAATAAGGAAAAAAAAAAAAGTGTTTGCTGTGATTTTAAGTCTTTGAATTCTGTTAGGAGAATATTTATATGGCATGTAAATATAATATGATCAGCTGATCATATAAACCAAAATGCCTACATAAGCATTCATTAGCTGTCGCCAAACTCTGAAATATATTAAAGCAGTAAATTTTCAGTTTTGCACGATTTTACCAGTCCCTTTGAGGAGTAAGTGGTACTAAGGAAACAGAAGCACTGAATAATAGTGCCTCGTTTTCTGGGGATCTTTCTATTCAAACTTAATATAACTTCTGCTGTTCAGTAGTATTTGATTTTGATTCAGAAACCTTAGATCCTTACATCTTAACATCTTTACCATCCTGATAACCAGAAAATAAGCCTACTTACAGTTCCAGAAAAAAAGATCCAAATCTTGTAAAAAAAAAATAAATCTATTATCAACACATTCTTACCCTCACAGTGTTTTAAAATGCTGTTTCAGAGGAAAGCAATGCTTAACAGAGGAGAGCTTACAAATTTTGATATATAAGACAATCTAAAATAAAAATTAAAGTGAAATTGCATCCATTTTCAAGGAGAAAAAACATAGGTTCCCCAAGCCAAAGGCTGTGTGATAACAGATGCCACTGAACCAAGCATGTTGTCACCCTTTCACCCACACTGAAAGCTTCTGTGCTGCTTTCCTGAGGTGATGACAGTCTGGACTTGTGTGCTTCGCTCGAGTTCCAGATACATATTTGTGCCCACTGCTGCTTGCATTTTTACATGACCAAGCTGTATTGTGGCTGCACGGCTTCTCTGCATACAGTCCTTCCACAGTTCTCTGTTTATTTTCTGGGCCTTCTGCGAGGTCCCCTGTCTTCACTCTAGAAGTTGGATGGTGTTTATTGCACCACAGTTGGTATTTAACACCTCATTTTCCCAGCAGGCTAAGCCAGGCTGCTGGCACAGCCCTTTGTAGCTTCACATTGTTGGCTAATCCTTAGCCTAGCTGAGAACACGTTCCCAAAGTACCAAACTTACGAACACGTATTTTTGTGGCTATCTGGAAAATATTTTTCAAGCACTTCAATTCCAGCTGTCTCAGCAGGAGTATTCAGCGTTATACAATCGGGAGCCAACTATCCTGGGCAGACTCAAGACCAAGTCACTGTATGACAAACATCTTGAACACCTCAAAAGCAAAAGACACCAAGAGGAGGTGTGGCAATCCATGGGGCTCAACCTGGCTGAGCACGAGATATACTGGCTTCCACTGCTCCATTCTTCTACCCCTGGAGAGAGGAAGAAGATGGTCTTATACAGGCCCTTCACAGCAACCTTGGAGCAGTCAGTGCAGCATGCTGCTCTGCTGGACATGTGAAGAAGCTCCTAATAGAGAACAGGCAACTGCTGCTCACAGAGGTACTATCTGGTGAGGGCTGCTTTCAATACCTGCAGCTGTCTTGAAGAAGTTTGGCATAAAGGAGGAGATTCTCCTAGAAGATGGCAAGTAAACAGGCAGTCTTGTTCTTTTCAGGCTTCCCTTGCTCCCTAACAGGCTGCTAGTCAAGAGCTAAATATCGCCATGGTGTTCTCTTATCAATTTTACTTGGGCTTTCTTAGCCATTTACCCATGCAAGAGAATATTTTTTTTAGCTACTGCTATGGATTTTCAATTTTCATGAATTACAGTGTAAGAATACTGAAAAATGAAATTGAGACTTCATCTTTAAAATACCTATTTCCTTTGTTGGACAGCACTCAGACAACACAGGCCTGTTTCTACCCTTTCAAGTATCTTTCCATGGAAGTCTCTTCATAAGGGATTGATGGCTGTTTTGGACAGAGACACTACTGAATATTCAGTATCAGTGGTGATAAATCAATGACCTTCTCCACTGCATGGTGCGTGTTATAAAGATTTGTCTTCTTCACTGCAATAACTCTTAAATAACGTCAAGGGAGAAGAGATCCTCTGTGGCTCATGCTGACGTCAGTGTCCTTCCATCTCTTACCCCACTTCAGGGAAATTTCTTTCACACAGAATCAGGAAAACCTTCCACTGCCCTGCGAGGCCACCTTTTTTCATTCTGGTACCTTAAAAATGTACTTGTCTTTGCTGGGAAGATCATGCTGAAAAAGAAATTGGAAAACAAGGGTAGAAATATGCTTCAGCTCATGCCTCCTGCTCTTCTCGGTGTTCTCTTTCCTCATCTTGAAGTGCAAGTTCTCTTCCAAGGCTAAATCAGAAACATGAACTCCACAAACCTCTATTTCTCCACCTTCTCCAGCTGCCACCAAAACTAGCACAATGCACAGAAAGGGAAATTCTCAGCAGTTACCTGGAACATCAACACCATTAG